ACGTTTGCGATGATAGGCGTTAGAGTTAAGCACGCCAGCAGTTTACCATTTACCATTGAAGGCTTTTGCGCCTATAGGGTTAGGTACGTCAGCAGATTACCGTTGAACAGACGTTTGCAACGATATTCGTTATGGTTAAACGCCGATAGGCGTTAGCGTTAAGCAATTTAGCACATTACCATTTAAAAGGCGTTTGCAACGATAGGCATTAGGGTTAATCACGCCAGCAGTTTATCATTGAATAGGCGTTTCCGATGATAGGCATTAGGGTTGAGCACATCAGGTGAATAGGCGTTTGCGAAGATATGCGTTAGGGTTAAGCACGTCAGGGGTTTGCAACAACAGGCGTTATGGTTAAGCACGTCACTGGTTTACCATTGAATAGGCGTTTGCGGACGATAGGCTTTAGAATTAAGGACGTCAGGCATTTGCGCCGATAGATTATATGGTTATTTTGTGGATTAAGTTTGGAGCACGTCAGTATTTTACCATTGAATAGACGTTTGCGATGATACCAATTAAAAAAACAACATATTCAATTGCAAATGACCGGTGAAAATGCCTATGCATTAGGGTACACAGTTCCTACTGGCGACTCAGTCTGAAAATCTTATTAACACTAATTCCTTTTCAATGCAATGGCTGGTGCGAACACCTATTTATTAGTGGACATGGTAAAATGGCTGACATGTTTATCCTTAAAGTCTATCGTCGCAAACGCCTGATGACGTGCTTAAACCTAAACGCCTATCATCGCAAACGCCTATTTAATGACATTCTTTTAACCGCTATTTAATGCTTCCTAGTGATGTTATATCTTGTGAAATGGGTGTTATATGACTGCTATTATAAGCTATAGCTATTGTATAACAGCTACGAACATGATTTTAATCGCTATTTAATACTTAACCATGTAATTGCTAACACTTTTTGAAATGGGTGCTATATGACTGCCATTATAAGGTATAGCTGGTGACCAGCTAATTGTATGCTTTTAATCACTATTTAATGCCCTTTAATATTTAACCCAGCTATAACAGACAATATCACACTCACATAAACAGCAAAACAGAACATATAATACACTTGATGTGCTACAGCAAAGATATAGATATATTTTGTGAATGGCTATATGACTGCTATTAGGTCTATAAGCTATTACAAGCTGTAGCTAAAATGAATAGCTAGGCTAAATGCTACCGTATATTAAATGCTAGGCCAATCATGCGCTTTAATGGCCGCAACCTGGGTACCCATAAATAAGTGGCGGTCGCCAGATAATTATGTGGCGGCCGCCAGATAATTAAGTGGCGGCCGCCACCCTGACCTAAGCCTTGTAATGAAGAACCATACTATTTAGTAGGCCTATAAATAATAACTAGCCCAGGGGGGAATATCTTCTGTGTTATTTCCCTTCACGTCGATTTTGTTCTCTAATTCCTCCATTGTCAAGTTCCCCTTAAGGTAGGCCTACAGGTTGTTTTTAGTAACATAATAATAATAATAATAATAATAATAATAATAATAATAATAATAATAATAATAATAATAACAATAATTACTTGAATGGACTGACATATACTTTGTTACTTCTTAATTCTTCCTCTATGACAAAAATATTTAATTTTCTTAGTAAAAATAAAATACCCAAGGATTTCAACGGAATACTCAAGACCAAGTCAAAATACCCAAGATCTTGGGTAAATATCCAAGCAGTGGTCACACTGCTCAGATCAGATCAGAAGTCGTTGATGACCTTTTGACCTGAATTCTGAAATATGAGATTTTCGGGTCGCTTTCAGTCGAGACGGCCCGAGTGGAGTTTCATGTAAATGTTTCGTACGGAAAAAAAAATCTCCCCCGGGCTATAGCCCCCAAGCCCCCTCATTCTGGAGCCACCACTGGTTTGTTGATGTTCCGACTGTGTACGAAACGTGAAGAGCTATTTTGGTCGATATAAACAATGGAATAATCCATTGATGAAACATACATCTGTATATCAATATTGCTCATAGCCATGTCGATTTAATGGCGAGGTACCGGTGGCGTTTTTTTTTTTTTTTTTTTTTTTTTTTACAGACATTTTGAATGCAAGAAACTCCACTCGGGCCGTCTCGTTTGACTCGACTCGAAAATCCCATATTGGTCAAAGCTCACAACCAAAGATTAAACGTCTGCAGAACTTCGGAGTCTCCTAATACAATGATGTTACCATGCTAATAACTAATGCGGGCCGTTTATAATAACGAATGTAATATCTGATTGAGCTGCACGAGTAATAAAAAGTTGTATTTGAACTTGAGTTACATACTGTAAACATTTTTATTTGTTAGTTAGACCTGGTTTTGGATATTTAAGTATACAGGCCAGAACAACTAAAAATTATACATAGACATGAGTTTGGATTGGTCATGTACTAAAAAGAGTCACCACTTACTCAAAAAAGGCCGCTTTCAGGGAAAAGCACAACAAGAGGACGGAAAATACCGGCATTTATTTATCAAATGAAACAGGGTGACAGTTATTTTATTTAAAAAAAAGCTGAAAATAGACAGCTCTAACTGGATGCCACAGGACCTGCCAAAATAGCAGAGAGCACAATAAATGTATGAAACTAAAATGATACCTAGTATCGTATCAATTATATGGTCTATAAATAGTATAATACGAAGGTTCTTGATTACAAGGCCAAGATAATTATTGCCGAAATGATACATTACATTTTATTATTATTGTTATTATTATTATTATTATTATTATTATTATTATTATTATTATTATTATTATTATATTATTTAATATTAAGTACATTACAAGGCTATAGTCCAAGTTCAATAATGCCGGAATAATATACTTGATATATCATTTAATAATATTTTTCTTACACACTGTCCCATTTTTAATTCCATGTTTGATTGGGGATGGAGAGATTTTGTTCACCAGAGCAAAGTGGGAGTGGTCGCACGTCGCTCAAAATGATTCGAAGGTGGTAAAGGGGATGGAGCTCCCTGAAAAGTTTTCGAATTAGCTGGGTTTCAAAGGCTTATTTAATCGATTTTAGATTCTATTAATATGTACAAAATACATATAAAATACACAATAATATTTTCCTCCCGATGGCATGTGGTTTTTTCTACCTGACGGGGGCTCTGGCCCCGGCTGGCGCCACCCCTGGTACCGCTGATCGTCTCTATATGCATCATGTGTACAATATTGTTCCAGAGTAATGGGTGTGTGTTTAAAAGGAGCCCTTATGAATATTAGAAGGTGTTTGTGGGTCATTGTGATTACAACATGATTATTAAATGCAAGAGCTGGATTTAATTGAGAAATACGAATTCAGGAATACAAAGTAGGACAGGGAGGGAATTCAGCAGAGACTACATTTAGGCTTAGCCATACGACACTTGTTTAGATGATGTAGGCCTATTACAATTGATGTCTATGAAACCTCTCAATTGCCGGAAATTGCTGTTTCAAGCATAAATTTGGAAGCATTTGGTTATATACTTTTAACATTATTTGCCATTTTTCAAGGGTACCGTAACCGGCTAATCTGAGTTATACAAAAATAGTTATCAATGTAGTTTGCAAGGGTTTTGAACTATATCACCTAAATTGTTCATTGAATAAATTTGAAGGGTCAGGATAAGAGGTGTGCTATGGCGCGTAACGCCGCAGGTGCGAGTCGGGGGTGGATTTGGGAGGGGTGTTATTTCTTCCCGAATTACATACAGGGCATCTTGACCTAAGAAGGTTACCCTTGTGTATGGTAATGCAAAAGTCAAAATGTTATATATCATACAATTGGTCATCAGTAATACAGTATTTCTTTGCTGTTTGCTGCGATGGTTCTTCCAATTGATGAAATCGCTGCAATTTGCAGGGCAATATAGGCCATTTCGGCAAAAGAGAATGCAAGGCTATTAAGGTTAGAAATCTAGGACCCAATCCTAATGGAAAATATTATTTTCAGCTTGTTCTCGCGGGCCACATAATTACTTTACTTACATAATACTTATTCTTTTATACGTTTATTGCAATCGTTTTTGAAAACATGAAAAAAATTACAAAGTTTAAAAGAAGAAATCCTATATCTTGAATAACAAGTCCTAACATTACAATATACAGCGACTGAACGAAACAAATGCAGTTCAAATGCATATTAATACTGGGACAAAAATCAAATAAAAAAAATAAAAAAATGAATTCCAAATTTTTTGTGGCGTACATGATTACGACGATGGTGCAAGTTTTACCCACGAGTTAAACTTCTCTCAGAACAGAATAGATTTTGATAGAACGACACACGTTTCTTTGTATGAGCTTGAGCCTTGTTGAATCGATGCAAGAATAAAACAAGTGACTGATTCTGAAGATAAATACATTTAGGCATCTTTCAGTCTGAAAATACAAAATATTGTTAAAAAAGTTGTTCAATTAACGTATTATATTAGGACTAGGAAACTCGACACACGTCTTTATTCATTTATTTATAGGACTATATTCGTTGAAAATTATGCCACACGATACATTATGTCCTATATTCCAACACAGTTATTTACATTTTTTTGAAGATATATAATATAATATAAATATATGTTATATGTTTTATATGAAAGTCTCCATCAACGTTATCTCAACGTTGTTAACGTTATTAACTATAGATTCGATGTATATTTCATTGTTTTAATTTAGAATAACTGTTGAAGATTTTTCAGCATTGTAAATTTAAATATTGATTCAACACAATGTAATGGTAAACGAATTAGGCCTATGTATGAAACGTTTCATCAACCTAATTTCTACATTGATTCAATGTTTCGAAGTGAAATGTTCAGTAAACCTTAGGCTGACAGTCGTCTTACAACAATTATAATATCATTTGCTATTATATTAAACAAAAGTAGGCCTAAACATGAGCAGCCACCGAACTCGCGTTGCACTGAACACTGAGGCCGACGCAGACTTGAAAACAGCGCATGCGCAAAATACGTTCTATAAGGATGATTACGTATAATTATTGAGAATTACCAAACTATCCTAGGTTACGCCAATTCGCACCCTGCGGGCAAATATACTCATGCATAAATATATAGTAATAATGTGATGCTATGACTATATTTAGGCATGTCACATGTTTTTGTGGAACAAAATTTAATGGTCTGAATAAGGCGTTACAAACCTTACGTTAAAATATAATAGAATTACATGTAGGCCTATGTATTTAGTTAAACTTTGTTTAATTTAGTGTCTGGCAAAATTGTTCTATAATTAGAATTATAATGTTAATATAATGTATGTGTAATACTGCAGCGCATATATAATGACATTTTTTCATTTCTAAAGTGCAGTAATCTTATTCTACTGCGTTATGTACTTGGCTATATCGTTATAATAAATTGGTAATAGTCAACTAAAGTTTAAAAAAAAAAGACTAGGCCTATGTAGACAAATTATTTAAAAATAGTAGTAAATATCGTTACACTGTATAGGCCTATAAATAGACAACTATTAAACAGCTAGTTATAAATTATGATCAGCCAAACACGAGCAGAGGACGGGGAGCCACATAATTCCTGTAGGAGTCCAACCGTGAAATATTTGCAATTTTGATTCGATTTTAGTTGATTATTCAACAAAATGTTTACTCCAATTCATACAAAATGTAATTCTTATTGTTGCCCAGTACCATAAAAATAATAGGGTAAAATCTCGAATTGAAGCCCTGGGCTTTTTTTTAATTTTTTTTTTTGGCGAACTTTGGATGGCTTCTTTTCGAGGCTACTTCTGCAAAGTAAAGAGCGGGGGGGGGGGGGGGGGGGGGTGGCTTCTTTTCAAAATTAATGCTGTAAATTTGTACTATAAAACAATAAATAAGGCTGTTGTAACATCAATCTGTTCAAGTGTATTTAACTGGCATTAAATCACCTTGAAAATTACTGTATAAACCAAGAAGTTGTTAATAACTGTACAACTCCCTGTATAAACCAAATTTTTTTAAAAATTTATTTTGTTTTTAAAATTCATGCACAGTGTATATACTGTACTCGAAATCTCAAAAAGAAGCCTATGCTATCTTGAAAAAAAACCCATGGGCTTCTTTTTAAGATGGGCTTCTTTTCAAGGCTAATTTTGCAAATTAAAGAGGGGCTTCAATTCGAGATGGGCTTCATCTCGAGATTATGCCCACTAGGTTTCAATTTAAGGTTTTACGGTATATCAATACTATAGTACTATAACATAAAGTAAGCTACTTTAATTGTAATACAGCTGTAGTATCAGTAGGTACTAGGCCTATAACAATTGCTGTAAATGTATACTACTGTATACTCCACTGGTGCATTTTAAAAATGTACTGTCACACAATGATACAGAAAAACCAATCAAAATAGGCTTACTGTTAATTGCATTAGCCTTGACGCAAAATCGCAATTGCAATTTCTAATTTCTCTGTTGAAGATAGACGAGGTAATTTTTATAATCCATTGTAAAAACCCTATGTTTTAATATCATTTCATTAAAAATAATTTCAATTACAGTACACAAATTTAACTACTGTTCACTGAAAACAACGTCATCCAACGCAATACTTCGTATTTCGTAGGATTTTATAATATCCATAACCTGATCTATCCTGGATAATATTTCTTCTTTAATACTGGGTTCTTTTTCTCCTGTAGACGCCTCACTGAAAACAGCCTTAGCTTGATCATCCTTCTTTAACTGGAACAGGTGATGTCCAAGTAACCACTTACTCTCATTTCTCATGTTTTCGGTATCTTCTAGAATCTTTATAATTTTGTTTACTCTACCAGTGTTTCCCTTTAATTTGTAAATTTGTATCTTAAAGTGCAAGAGAGCGACAAGGTGCGGAATCTTTACGACGTCACCTTTCTGTTTGATAACAGAACGCAATTCATTGTCTAGAATAAGAGAATCTTCAATACTATAGACCAAATAACCCTTGTAATCCCTAAACGGATCACTCCAGTTTTTACGAACTAATTTTTTGCTGCGGTAAGCATTACCATAGTCATTTTCAACTATGAATTTAACAAGAGTTTGAAAAATAGATTCACCATTTGAATGTGATTTTGTTATTTCAGCTTTAACTTTTTCCAAAATTTGGTTAGATTTTTGTTTCATACCAATTTTGTCATAACTCTGGGCAAGCATAATTCTTTCCACAAAATAGTAGTCAATTAGACGAAGATCATCTGGAATTTCGACAAAATCTTCTTGTTCGAATTCAAAGTCGTCCTCAAATTCTGTGGCTTGTATAGTTGTAAACTGCGCCCCCAAATTTGTCTCATCTTCAAAACTTTCGGTGTTATAAAGTTCATTACAAACTTTGGCTTCCTCGATATCTGATGTAGGCATAACAGGAAAACTTTGCTCATGGTTTTTGTTTTCAGGAAACAATATTTCCATATCAGAAGTCTGCAGCTGGCTATCTTCCGGAAAAGTATTTTGTATTTCTATGTTTTCCAAGTCTAGTTTTTTCACCTGCACATCTCCCTCGGCGGATAAATGTGTTTCTGTGTGGTCATTTTCAGAATTCATCGCTTCAATATATTCTTCTGAGTTCTTCTCGTCTTTTTCAACTGTTGGAAAAAAGCGCGATGTTATTTCATTTATTAGTCTTTCTGCTTCATCTACCTTTTCAATATATAACAAAAAGTTTATTCTATCTAAAAGTATGCCAATATTGCCTTTTTCCAAATGAACAGTTTGCGAATACAATCTTGCAGCTTTCTGAAGATTTTCAGTACCATCAATAACTGACATATAAGTCGTTATCCTACCATATAACATGAAATACTTAACGCGATAATGGTCAAAATATTCATTGAACGAGTCGTCATCTAGTGCAATCAACGTTTCAAGTTTTTTCAGACTGCGAAGCGCTGACTGCAAATTACCATGGTAATGACTAAAGACTGCATTTGCCATATGCAGCTCTATAATGCTCTTCCAATTACCACGATTATTTAATTTACTATAAAATACCATTGCATCCTGTACATGTAGATAAGCTCTTTCAATATCGCCTTGGTAAAAGTGAGCTTTGGACAGTAACACCAAAGTGTCAACATATACCATTTTATCACGTAGTCCTGTTTCTGATGCTTTTACAAACGGCTGAAACACTAAATTATACAATGTTTCAGGAAGACTCAAAAATTTTGTTCTTTTCAATAGCATCTCCAAAGGACTTCTTCTAAGTTCGTACAAAGGTAGCAAAACAGAGTCAATATGCTCGTCTGTTGGAACCAACCGATGGCCATGGTCTATAAAGTCACCTTGAAATTTTTCCAACACATTTCTGTCAGGTATAAAATAATGCGGTAACATTTTTGATTTAATACATTCTTTGTAAATATCAAGAATATGAAACATTAATGAAGCAATATTTTTACTGACCCATTTTTCTTTTGAAATCAATTCGCTTTCTGTATACATAATGTTTAGTATATGATAAGATGGTTGAGGTACAACAGCTTTAAATATGTGTATAAGTTCTCTTTGAACACGTGATAAAGAACGAGAGAGAAACATTTCTCCATAAGAAAAGGAAATCCTCCATTCAAAATCTTCTGTGGGACTTTTGTAATGTCCTGTCGGTACAATTTGACAGCCGGCTTTTAAAACGTCCTTTATTAACAGCTGGCTTGGCCAACCACTTGGTCTAGCCCGTGTTATCCAGTCCTTAGCTTGTTCTGGCCAATCGGGAAATGGGAGTGCTATAACTATGTCAGCATTGATGGATGTTGTCATTGGAGCATTTCTACTTCCTAAATAAGCATTTATTGCCGGACCGTTTGAGTCGACAAAAGACAGGACAGGTCCAGAAGATGGCCATCTATTTGGCAATGTTGCTGATGCTGATTCAGATGCTGATTCTGATTCGAACTCTGAATCTGATGTTCGTCTTCGATTGTAGGATTGCAAGATGAACTCTTTGGCGTTCCACCAGTAATCAAACCTACCTTTCATCACTGCAGAACTACTGACATAACGTTCACTCATTGGCAATTGAGACATGTCATGACGTCTACACCTTCTCAGCAAGACATAACCTGGAAAACTGGACGCCTCTACGTTAAGGTATGAGGTGTCGGAATCACATGTAGTATTAAGCATATTATCACTGGGACAGTAATCTCTGTCGCGTTCATTTTCAGGAGCATGTTGGTGTTCTATAATGTCAGCTAATTTCTCAGTTATATCTTCATCATCATAATGACATTTCTTACGAATCTCGTAGTTATTTAAAATCGTTACTATGTCGAAATCTCTTAAGTCAGTTATGATGTGAGAATTCAAGAAAAAGCCGTGACCACAACTGCCAGCTAAATAAGAACTTGATCGACCAACGTCATACAACATTAACGGGTACTTTAAAACGGTTGCATCAGAAATGTCCAATAGAAAGTTATGCAGTTCAAACCCATAATATATCATAAACACTAACGCTGACAATTGTATACCTGACACTGGGTCAGTTTCAAAGTCTGTTAGAATCCATTCTATCGTATGCTCATCCATTTTCCCCTATAATAATTTGAATAACTGTTGGGTCGACACACTTAGTGGCGGGGATCAAACAATGAGTAAAGAAATAGTAAGACGAGCGATGTCAGGACAAAAGCAACGTCATTGAGGATGATGACCGAGATTTCAATAAAACTGCACACACCTACATTCTGAAAATAAAGAGAAAATTATTGGCTTTAACACAATTATATTTACAAAGGAATTTGTTTTAGTGTTTGTTTTTCGCTACCATTGTCGTATATCGTTTAAAAGGTTCCAATACAGAAAATAATTTGAAAAATACGAAAAGATGAAGATGAGGTACAGTGTATTTTGTAATTCTGTTCAAGAAATATTAGAACTACCAACATCATGTAAATTAATTTGCTATGTTTAGAAAGTGTTAGTCAAATAACATTTTTATTGTATGTCCTACTCTATAATGTGCTTAGTACTGACAAATGTTCAACATGATGACCAACGCTGTTGGTACGATCGTACAATGTTCATCTCTCAACAACTATTGTTCATGTTTATTATAATTGTTTATCGAAGCTGTACTACTATAGATATCAGGTCTGTATGTAAGGATCTCTGCCACTTATAAAGTCAGGCTCTGGAGGGAAAAAAAGTGATGTGTTGTAGTACTGACTTTTCTAAGACAGAAAAAAGTTGGTTTTTTTCTCCGGAGCCTGTGACTTTAACATACAAGGGCCATACATTAGTCTTTAACAGCATATTTTGTTAAAGTTGCTGAACAGATTATTGTGATTGAATTGCTGCCAATATGGGAGCATAAAAGGTTTATGACTAGTCACTTGCTAGCAACAACAAATGAATTGTTGTCTACAGATGAGGAACCTTGCAATGTCGGACGGTCGTTTTTACGGACACACTAAAGGCTATGCTATCATTGTGAGAATAACTTTAAGGCTCTTTAAATATGTTGACGGTATCTGTGTATGAATATAGGATAAGTCAACAGAGTGACTCATCAGGATCACTAGACTTTTATGGTTGGTGCAAATAACAAACTCCATGCGTTACAACCCTGATAAATGTCAACCCTAAAAATGCCCTCTGAAACATTTAGACTGGAAATAAGAAATGTTTATATATATATATTTTTATTTATTTATTTATTACCGGTACATCATCTAAGAGAGCTGTCTAAAACGGATCCCCGACCTAAACCGGCCCCCGCCTCATCAGATAAGAAATGAAATCTAATGTCATATCATCTCAGTAATGTGGTACTATAATTGTAACAATTTCCTATTGTTTATTTCAAATATGTGAATACCCACCAATTAATTTAATGTTTCGCTCCGATTCAAACACCTTTAATTTCGAGCTCCTCTAAGTAACAATTGAAATCTTTTAACACAAAGCTAACAATTTAAGAGAGCGATCCCTGAGACAACCTCACGGATCCAATGTGTCTCGAATCTGAGGGTGTAACCACAGCTACTTTACCACACCCCCCCCTCCCACAACCCACCACCATTTTTTTTCCATTTAAAAAAATCTGTTATCTCATTAACTGGTGCCGAGTATTTTTTGTCAAATTCATTTTGTCTCTGTGTGTTATTATTAAAAAAGTCTTTAAAAAAAAGAAGAAAAAAAATCAGTTGTCATTTGTTTCTAGAGCCCATGGCTTTAAAATTACTTGGCCTTAAACAAAAAATTTCCTATTATTTATTTCAAATATGTGAATACCCACCAATTAATTTAATGTTTCGCTCCAATTCGAACACCTTTAATTTCGAGCTCTTCTAAGTAACAATTGAAATCTTTTAACACAAAGCTAACAATTTAAGAGAACGATCCCTCAGACAACCTCACGGATCCAATGTGTCTCGAATCTGAGGGCGTAACCACAGCTACTTCACCACCATCCACTCCCCCACCCCCAACAACCCACCACCATTTTTTTACCATTTTCAAAAATCTGTTATTTCATTAACTGGTGCCGAGTTTTTTTTTTGTCAAATTCAATTTGTCTCTGTGTGTTGTTATTAAAACAAGTCTTAAAAAAAAAAAGAATAAGCAGTTGTCATTTGTTTCTAGAGCCCATGGAAATACCGTAAGCAAGAAGTCTCTGAAATCATTGGAGCTGCGAAGTACAACTGCATATAAATGTTCTTCGAACAAAATTATTTATGCGAGTCAAGTGAAAATAATGAATAATAAAAATATAACAAATAATATGAGACATGACCCATTGTCTATATTAGAACACTTCTCATTGGGTAACAATTAAAGTCGTAATTTTTCATTTTTGTCAAAAAGTGTCTATAGTGGTGAATTATGGTTTAGGTTTTTTTAATAAAGTTTCAAAAATTTCTATGTATGTTGAAAATGTAGTTGATTACCAAAGGTTACAATTTTTATTTTGAAGACTGCATGGTCTAGGAAGTGTACATTTTTTTATGGGGCAAGTTTCCAAGGGCGGGTTTTCTAGGGGCGAGTTGACTGCCAAAGAGTGTTGCCAAAGTGCTTGATTACAAGAGCGACATCGCAAGTGTGATCCAGCGAGCCATGACGTCACGACAATAGATACGAGACGTTAACGAGTTTGTGCGAGGTATCGGCTGAGATTTGTGGAGTTCAATTAAAAAAAAAAAAAACTATAAGTCTAATAATGAATTATTATGATGTTAAATAGACAATGTTAGCTATTAAGGAGCGACGTTGTTTTTCTTTGGGACCTTCGTCCCTTCAAGGCTAGGCCTATCTATAGGCCTATACCATACTAGGCCTAGCTAGTCTAATTGGCCTAGAGTAGGATAAGGCTAGCGCGACATGCGGACGTTGGTACGAGTAGGTTAGTCTACAAACGTCGCCTAAAGTTTAACCCGGCAGAACGAAAGGGAAACTCCGCTTTTCAGTCGTCTTAGCCCCTTGTTTTTTGACAAACAATGACCTTTCAGAGGTCAAATTGCTGTCAAGAATATGAATTGGCTGCTTCGCAGCAATTAATACTGTAACTAGGCCCTATTATGTATGACTAACCTGAGGAGATGACTAACCATAGATCATCTGTCCATTTTCCCACCACAAGAATGTTTTCTGTACTGAGGCCTACCTTGCTAGCCGGCTACATGGCCCATCAATGTTCTAAAATCACCTGCCCAAACATTTAGGGCCTAATTAACCAACAATCAGCTTTCAGTAATTTTAATTATCTTGTCAAATGTGCCGATCACAGCGAGTGTTCTTTCGGCCTCAATGGTCTTGTGTATAGGACGCCAAAAGGACAAAATACAATTGGCAGCAGTGCAAAACTGAGAGTCACCAGTGCAAAACACAGAGTCAGCAGTACAAAACACAGATTCACAGTGCAAAACTGAGAGTCACAGTGCAAAAGTGAGAGTCATAGTGCAAAAGTGAGAGTCACGGTGCAGAACTGAGAATCACAGTGCAAAATTGAGAGTCACAGTGCAAAACATTGGTGGCAATGCAAAACTCCAATGGCAGTGCAACTCAAGTGGACGCTCTCTATTTTGAATTAAAGTTTCACAGCTTTTTTGGACGGTGTCAACAAGTAAAATGGATGAGATTTTGAGGTCACATGGGCACTCCTTAGTGACCATTGACAATTTTGAAACTGCCAATTGTATTTTGTCCTTTTGGCGTTCCATA